CCCTGCCACCCCAGCAGGCCACGCGCCACCTACTTGACATGCTTGGCGCTCTTGTAGTGGATGAAGATGACGATGGGGTAGATGTGCATGTGGTGCAGCCGCTCGATGGCCTGGGGCGCCACGTCCAGCAGGCAGTGCCGGTTCTGCGGGGACGCGGGGACAGCAGAGTGAGCGCGGGGCCAGGCCTGGGGGTGGGGCCTCGGCAACCCCGGGGCCCTTCTGGGGAAACCCTCCACCCTTCTCTGCCACCAATAGGTCCCCCCTCCCCCTCCCACTGCACTACCTGGCTCCACAAATCGACACATAGCTACCCATGAACAACGAAGCGAGACTGTCTCTCATGACGACACGTGACACACCATGGGGAAGGTGACTCTGAAACGCTCTCCCCACAAGTTGTCAGTCTGATGGGTCAAGGCCCGAAGTCAGGGCCCAGTGGGGGCTGGGTAGCCCAATGCAAACCTCCTTTCCTACCTTTGCCCAGATACAGGGAACTCCTTAAAGCGCTACCCAGGCCACCCTCAGGGAACAGGGAGTGTGGCGGGAGAGGGGAGGCTGGAGTCTGTCTTTGCGGGGCTGTGACCAGAATGTGTCCCAGGGTCCCCTGAGCCTCCAGGCAGAGTATGAGCCAAAGGTATCATGCCTATGACTCGTCTCCCAAAGCTCCAGTGCCTGGGGCCCCGCTGATGGGAGCTCATCACTGCTCCTGGGCATCTGCACTACAGCTCTAAGGGCCCTGGAAGGTGTGGCCTGAGGAGCACCCACAGCCTGGAGGGCTGCTTTTCCAGCGTGCCCTGCCATGTCCCGCTTTCCCTCACACTACCTGGCAAGTGGACCTCAGGACTTTCAAGAGCCTAAAGACATGCAGCAATAGCTCCTGGCCCAGGGGCAGGGGCCCTGCTGTAAGCCGTGGGCCCTGTCCCAGAATGACACAGAGAGAGCTCTGCACTAAGCTCAGTGGATAGGTGTGGTGTGGGACCTCCTGCAGAAGTCCCTGAGAGAGGCCCGTCTGAGCAGAGAAGGTTCTCGTAAGTGGGAGAGGAGCCCGGACACAGGGTGACTGTGACGCCCCTCGCCTAGCCCAGCTTCCTCTTCATGAACATGGACACACAAAGCAGCAACGGGGCAGGCGCCCAGCAGGCTCATCCGGACACAGCAGCAATGCGGGAGGCTCCCAGCAGGCTCATCCAGACTAAAGGGCACAGTGAGCTCACCGAAGGTCCGGGAGCTGTACAGGGCAGGGCCCAAAGGCACAGCGGGTCCAAGGCCAATGCTCAAACAGGCGTAGAACCCTCGGTCTGAAGCAACAGGTACCTTTTCTGTGATCTCCTTTATGGAAGCCACCGTGGTCACATCGAAATGGCCACTCCTCCGCTTGTAGTCAACAAACAAGCAGTCTTTGACGCCTCGCTCGATGGCCTGCTGAGAGGCCTTCATCACCTCTGCAAAGTAGACAGAGGAATCAGGAGGCCAGCACTGTTCACGCTCTGGGAGACCACTGTGCAGAGGGGCCGCCAGGAATCCAGTCCTGTTGTTCCCTCTCCCAGAGAAAGAGCCAGAACCCACTCACCCATCTGACCCAAGTCAGGAGGGCTTGGACACATTGTGGAATCTAGCCCAGGAGACAGTGGGCGTGGGCACAGAGACAGGCATGGGGGCCCTTACCAAGGGGGCATCTGCAGAACTTGCCAGGCGCCTCATTCACCAACATTTCCTTCACCACGTCCAGTAAAGGCCCCAGAATCAGGACGGGCCTCAGGGAGGTACAGTCGACTTTCTGGACCCGCTGATAGGCAAGGCTCACTGAGTCTGAGGGAGAGGGGCCGTGTCATTAACCCACTCGGAGTGAAGGGAAGGAGAACGGCTGGGGACACACTGCTCCCCTGGCTTTGCTAACTCTAGGCAGGCCCACCCCCTTCACTCCACAAATCCAGAGCCAGGTAGAGTGACCACTTCACCCAAGTCTGCCTGGGATTTGCCCAGTTTTAGCACTGGGAGGCCCATGTCCCAGGCACAGCAGGGCACAGCCATTCTGGATTCCAGCACAACTGCCCAGTCTGTGAACACCCAAGTCAGTTCAGCACTTCCTCCTGCCGAAGTCCTTCCTTCTGTGTCTTACGCCTGCTCACCCCACCCCCAGTATCCAGTCTCTGCTCTCTAGAGAGGCAACCTCTGGGGTTTGGCAGGGACAGGCTCCCCTGCAGGTAGGGAGTCACGCGACCCAGACCTGCACAGCACGGTGAGCAGAGGTGAAGCTCCCACTTCCTCGACCCCTTTCCCATGAGCTGAACAAACAGAACCAGGTACCATGAGCCAGCTCTGATCCTGCAGATGAGGACAACCCTCAGGAAATGGCAGAGCACAAGACAGAGGGACCTGGGTCCCTGGATAATCCCAGAACGGAGCTGTCTCCCTGGGACCACCCACCAGTTCAGACTTGTACATGGCAGGGAAATAAGGTTCCTATCATGCTTCGGCCTCTGTTATGTAGCCTCAGTCACAGCAGTCAAAGCAATACCCTCGCTGATACACACTGCATTCCTCTCCTTCCACCAAAGAGGATAATACAGTCCTTGCAAGAAGAACTGGCCTAAACACCAGCCCACAAATATCTTCCTGGCACCTCCCTGGCACTAGTCACTGTGCTGGCATCTCAGAAACACTTTAAAAAGTGTGTAAAGCACAGTCCTTGCCATCACCAAGCTCACATGCTAACCAGTGTCATAAGACAGCACCACATGGCAAGACCACCACACAGAAGTTGCCCAACAACTCCAGGCAACGGAACAAGCAATCCAGGGACAGGAAGGGGTTAAACAAATACTATGTTGGATCAGACAATGAAGAGACCACCTGGGAGGCCCAGGACAGAGGTGGGATGGGAGCTGATCCCCAGGCAGAGGGCANAACGGCTGGGGACACACTGCTCCCCTGGCTTTGCTAACTCTAGGCAGGCCCACCCCCTTCACTCCACAAATCCAGAGCCAGGTAGAGTGACCACTTCACCCAAGTCTGCCTGGGATTTGCCCAGTTTTAGCACTGGGAGGCCCATGTCCCAGGCACAGCAGGGCACAGCCATTCTGGATTCCAGCACAACTGCCCAGTCTGTGAACACCCAAGTCAGTTCAGCACTTCCTCCTGCCGAAGTCCTTCCTTCTGTGTCTTACGCCTGCTCACCCCACCCCCAGTATCCAGTCTCTGCTCTCTAGAGAGGCAACCTCTGGGGTTTGGCAGGGACAGGCTCCCCTGCAGGTAGGGAGTCACGCGACCCAGACCTGCACAGCACGGTGAGCAGAGGTGAAGCTCCCACTTCCTCGACCCCTTTCCCATGAGCTGAACAAACAGAACCAGGTACCATGAGCCAGCTCTGATCCTGCAGATGAGGACAACCCTCAGGAAATGGCAGAGCACAAGACAGAGGGACCTGGGTCCCTGGATAATCCCAGAACGGAGCTGTCTCCCTGGGACCACCCACCAGTTCAGACTTGTACATGGCAGGGAAATAAGGTTCCTATCATGCTTCGGCCTCTGTTATGTAGCCTCAGTCACAGCAGTCAAAGCAATACCCTCGCTGATACACACTGCATTCCTCTCCTTCCACCAAAGAGGATAATACAGTCCTTGCAAGAAGAACTGGCCTAAACACCAGCCCACAAATATCTTCCTGGCACCTCCCTGGCACTAGTCACTGTGCTGGCATCTCAGAAACACTTTAAAAAGTGTGTAAAGCACAGTCCTTGCCATCACCAAGCTCACATGCTAACCAGTGTCATAAGACAGCACCACATGGCAAGACCACCACACAGAAGTTGCCCAACAACTCCAGGCAACGGAACAAGCAATCCAGGGACAGGAAGGGGTTAAACAAATACTATGTTGGATCAGACAATGAAGAGACCACCTGGGAGGCCCAGGACAGAGGTGGGATGGGAGCTGATCCCCAGGCAGAGGGCAGCGGGATGGTGGGTGACGGGCGGGATGGTGGGTGACGGGCGGGATGGTGGGTGACGGGCGGGATGGTGGGCGATGGGCAGGGCAGAGCTGAGGTGGGGGGAAGACTAAGGTGGGCTCGTGAGGACAGGTCCATGAGAGGCTCGGCCTGGAAGCCCGGTCACGGCTGTACAGCAAAGTGGGACCAGGAGACACGGGAAGGGAGCGGAAGTGGGGCCGTACGCGCACACTGCACCGTGCTAGGTGCAGCCGCGGCCCCAAGTCTGAGCTCGTGGGCAGGACTGAGCAGTCTCTCCTCTTCCCTCACTCTACGTGTGTGTGTGTTTTTAAGGTTGATAACTATCCACGTGCATCTAGATGGCTTTCTGTCAGCATCTTTCAACCTGGTGACCTGACCTGTTGCTAACAAAGCAGGGGAGGGCTTGGAGGCCACCTCCACTGTCCTGGGAGCCTGCGCATTCCTAACTAAGGGCTCTGAGGAGTCCCGAGACAAAGAACTTCCTCCAAGAGGGATGAACCATCCCCTCTTTAGAAATTACAATCCCAGAGATAAAGCCCAACATCCTGACACCTCCATCCAGTCCTGGACCCTGCGCCTCCTCAGAGGAGACCACTATACAAGCTGGAAGTACACCCTCCACGTTTGTTATTCTTACTAAGTTAATTTTTTTTATGCTCAAAAAGACTAGAAAATATGTGTACATAAGTATGTATTCAACAAAAATGACATGATACTGGCCCCGGCCAGTGTGGCTCAGTTGGCTGGAGCATCATCACATAAACTGAAGGGTCGTGGCCTGACGCCCGGTCAGGGCACATGCCCAGGTTGTGGGTTCAATCCCCAGCTGGGCGTGTTCAGGAAGCAACCAATTGATGTTTCTCTCTCTCTCTCCCTCTCACCTTCCTCTCTCTCTAAAATTAGTTAAAAAAACTTTTTTAAATGACATGATACTGTAAATATTCTTTTTTGCTCAGTGCTACTTCTGGAATGCATCTGTGTCGATCCACATTGATCTCTTTTGAACACCCCAACTGTTAGTATCCCACACTGCAGGTAGCCAATGTAGAAGACTCCTGTTCCTCCCTGAATAACCTGCTTCGTCAGAAGTCCTCATAATCACAGAGCCAGAGGGCTGGAGAGCATCTCGGCATTCACCAAATCCAGCCAGAATAGGAAGACCAGAAGAAACACAAAAAGCCCCAGTAACAGTGAGTATATAGATAAATAAGAATCCAGAAGCAACATGATATACATGCATAAATTGCTTTTAACTCTGGTATAGATATTGAAAACCAAAAGCATGAAAGTAAACTTATAAATCTATGTGAATGAACACACAGTATAAAAAGAAATAATTGGTGTCATCAATAACACAAAGTGTGGGAGGCAGAGAGGTAAAGCAGTTTTTATATGAGATTGAAATCAAGATGTTATTAGTTTAAAATGAATTGTTGTAACTTTAGATGTTTTATGTAATTGCAATGGTATCCACAAAGAAAATACCAATAAAATATACATGAAGGAAAATGAGATGCAAACCAAAACATAACACTACAAAAATTTAATGAAACACAGAAGAAGGTAGCCAAGAAGGAAAAGATCGGCAAAAGCTACAGGACATACAGAAAACAACAAAATGACAATAGTAAGTCCTTCTATCTTGGTAATTATTTTAAATGTAAATGGATTAAATACCCCAATTAAAAGAAATAGATTGGGTGAATAAATTTAAAAAAAACAATAACCAACTACATGCTGTCTATAGATCGAAGGACACACATAGGCGCCAAAAATGAAAAGACAGAAAAAAGGTATTTCCTGCAAATAGAACCTAACGAGAGCAGGGGTGGCCACAGTTATATCAGACAAAACAGACTTTAAGACAAAAACTATCACAAGAGTCCAAGAAAGGACATTATATAACAATAAAAGAGTCAATTCTTCAGAAAGATACAACAATTTTAAATATATATATGCACTTTAGTGTTCCCAAGTATGTGAAGCAAACACTGATAAAACTGTACAGGTATGGCCGTGAATGGAAACGACCTCCACCTTTGTGTCCCTGAGGTGACCTTTAACCAGCCTTGCTGTCCTCAGCAAGCACACCAAAGCCTTCTGGTTGATGATTATCTGTGTTTCTTAAACGCACACAATGCAGCCATAATATTTTTGTTAGTAACAGCCAGAATGGCCTGACAACCCAGATAAATATCAAACTGGTAATAGCATTGATTATAAACAATTATCCACCACAAGACCACCGGGAGGAATGGCCCGTGTCACTATCGCATTCTTTGTCCCTTTGTCTTGTCAATCATTAGTACCTGAGTTACACTATAAAAAGGTACTGCAACAGGGGACTGTTAACGGAGAATACTCTGCCCAGGTTGCTGGGTCATCTGTCTACTCCAACACTACATTCCTGTAAATAAGTTACGCAATAATAAATTCTATTATACTCTATGGAGTTACCTGCATCATCCTTCAGCCTTAAAATACCTTCTCATTACAGCGGCCATTACACCTTTGTTCCACTGTCAGACACAGAACTGAAGGGAGAAATAGCAACACAGTAACAGGAAGGGACTTCAGTACCCCACTCTCAGTTATGAGCAGAACCAGCGAGAAGACCACTAAGGAGACAGAGCTCCTGAATAACACTGTAGAACAAATGGACTTCACAGACACACAGAGCACCAAGAACATTCTTCCCAAGTGCATACAGAACATTCTCCCAGGGAGACCACATGTTAGGCCACAAAACAAGTCTTACCAAATGTAAGAGGAACAAAATCATACAAAATATCTTCTCTGACCACAATGGGATGAAACCAGAAATCAAAAGCAGAAGCAA